GGTCCGGGCTGGGGATTCGAACTCGCCACCTTAGGTGTACATGGCTGGCGCCTTAGCCGGTTGAGCTATAGGCGCCGAGCCCAAGGTCACTCTTAAAATAAGCAAATACTGAGGTTTATTCTCAAACTTACACTACTTTCATTCTTTTTTTGCAACTCCATTTGAATGATCTTGGTTGATCTTGGCACAGAGGTTAAATCAATATTTGAACTTTGGTGATTTAGAACGTACATAATCTAACTAGTTAGATCAGGTTAAAGGAACATAAATAAAGAATGCTTTTTCTAAGATTTATTCTACAGGGAGGGGGAAAAAGGATTGGTGTGCTCCCACTTAATGGGCACAATGTAAGTGTATACAGCACAACTCCTGGGTACAGATCAAAACTACAACAGGGACCCTACCTAAAAATATAAACATTGTAACCTAATTGTTTGTACCCTCACATTGATCTGAACTTTTTTTTTTCTTTGAGACACATTTTCAAGCTGTCACCCTGGGTATGGTACCGTGGCACCATAGCTCACAGCAACCTCCAACTCGTGGACTCAAGCAATTCTCTTGCCTCAGTTTTTCTATTTTTAGTAGAGACAAGGTCTCGCTTCTTCTCAGGCTGGTCTCGAACCTGTGAGTTCAAGCTATCCACTCACCTCGGCCTCCCAGAGTGCTAGGATTACAGGCATGAGACACTGCGCCCAGCCCTCTGAACTTTTAAATGAAATATATATATGTATATAATACACACACATTAATGCTAAAAAAATTTATTCTACTCTGTTTCCCTATTGCTATTATCACCCCCAGGGCCTGGCATGGTGGCTCACGCCTATAATCATAGCAGTTTGGGAGACTGAGGCAACAGGACCACTGAGAGAATCAGTTTCTATAAAAAAATAAAGTAGGCCAGGTACAGTGGCTCATTCCTGAAATCCTAGCACTTTGGGAGGCCGAGGCAGGTGGATAGTTTGTAAGACCCTGTCTATCCTAAAAATAGAAAAAAAAAAAGAAACCAAAAGAAGAAACCAAAAATATTCTATTTCATCTGAGTATTTATTTTGAAGGGAGACAGAGGCTCGGTGCCTGTGTCTCAAGTGGCTAAGGCGCCAGCCACACACACCTAAGGTGGTGG